CATTTAGTAAAGGTTTTAAAGGCTGTAAACGCCATATAACACCAAAAGTGGTGATGTATTTCATATTTTCAACTTGAACGGCACCTTATGTAACACATAGACCCTCTGATTTAATATACCCATCGTAGATTGCAACTGCTTATTAGGGGGAAGGTTAACAGTCAGCAACACCCAACTGTCAAGTGTATCCCTGTATGATTAATATGTTATAAACCCTAAATAAAACTTAAGGAACGCTTTCAACACTTCAAACACTATCCATGAAAATAGTGTCAGTTGATGCCAGATGAAAACTGGCAAGACTCTGTTTTTAACATAACTATTGCTGCGTTTAGTCGAAGTAAATATTTTAGTGCCATACATTCTATGGAGTATAATGTTTTAGGGCTCGCAAAGCATTACTTATTTTGAGATACAAAGTATGATCAATACGTTATAAACTCGTACTGTGTATAATGTCTAGGCAGCAAAATATTATCACTCTTAGAGTAACAAGTGTTATCAATACATTATAAACTTCTGTTGCTTTAATATATATTCTAAGAGCTTATTGGTGAATGTAAAGAAGCAAAGAAGAATGTATAACTATAAGTCAACCTCACTATATTTATCAAATACAGTATCAATGAGGTCTTTCGTACAACACCAAGGCTTATCAAGGCAGCTGGAATACAACAAATATAGTAGTTGTTGAGACACTATTTGTGTTGCTTATATAACAATTATAATGGTGTAAACTAGATTAAGCTACTGAGGTGTAATTTTTATAAGTTTTATATGAATCATTTCAAATAAGAATTAGGATAAGAATTAATAAAGTTAGCGAAGAGTTATCTTTGTTAGTGTACAAGTGTAATAATTAGATAAAAACTCATAGTATTATATATATATCTTAGGCTAATTTAGCATCATGCAACAAACATAATAAACACGTTGCTCGTATTACGTATAATTCCTAGGCTACAAAGCATTATCTGTTTGAAAATAAAATAACAGCAACTGTAAAATTTGCTGTTATTTTGAATTAATTACTCAGTTCAGTAGGTTCCTCACTAAACGTTGGTTATCTCTGTTTAGGTACTAACAAGTGCGATACATACAATATAAATACTATCTTTGTAATGGTACCAAGTTTGATAAATAAAATACAAAATATTGTCTTATGTATAATATTTAAGATAGCTAAGCATTATCTTTATTAAAGTACCAAGTTTAATGGAGTCGAAATAAACTCTCGTCTAATGTTTAATGTTTAGGTTAGCTAAGAATTATCTTTGTTAGGGTACCAAGTGTGATCAATATGCTATAAACTCATCTTGTGCACAATGTTTAGGTTAGCCAAGCACTGTTTTTGTTAGAGTACCATGTGGGATCAGTATGACATAAACTCGTCTTGTGCATAGGATTTAGGCTAGCCAAACATTGTCACTTTTAGAATACGACCAACTTGTCTCCTGAGATTTGTTCTGCAGACCAGCAATATGTTCAGATAAGTTAGTTGAGAGAACGTGAGTATCTACAGAGAGTTTCCGTTTATTTACAGGTACTCAGTTGAAACTTTGCATTACAAAGATATGTGCCACAGGTATGTGATTCTTTGGAACGAGTACGATATATATTAATTACATAATCAGAGCATGAGTGAAGTAATTAGCTTTGAATGAAAAGATAAAACACGATGGTGTTTAGTCTCTATCAATTCAGTGCTTGGAGCAAAAATGCCACATTCTTATTACAGAGATGGGAGACATAATATTGGTGTATTCTGATATCTGATTCATCTTTTTCAGCTTCAGAAAACCATTTCAGCTACAACGTCATCTGTAGAACAATATTTTCAGCATGCATCAATCTAACATGTCAAATTAATTCTTTTATTTTAATGCCTAATGTGGCTTTATAGAATCTAAGTCTAAGTCTCAACAAAAATTCATCCACAATGGCACAACAGTAATTCTGTGGGTTTATAATACTAAAAACCTAGTTTCAATACCTGTGCTGCACTGATCATAGATAGCCCATTGTGTAACATTGTGCTTAATAACAAACAAACAAGTCTAAAACATTTGAGGCATTTTATACTATTTTCAAATGCTTCAAGAAATGAGAAATATAATTTTATAAAATTTCATGTATAAAGAAAAGCTGTGTACATTTAGTGAATGCATAAGAGAAGCTGTACAACAATGCTTGACCTAGAAAAGAAATATATATGTCGAGTATAAACTAAGATGTATTCCAGGCAGTATTGGTTACCAACTATAAAAAGAATTTGCGACAAGTTGAAATCTATAGGCAGTCCTATGGAATTATAGTAACTTGTCCACATATAGAAACACCATCTGCCATGCCCTCTAGTGCCACATCGTGAAACTATATCTTCTAGCAACATTCTCTCTGTTGAGTAACACTCGAACTATGATGTCACGTGACATCTCCTAGAAATGTGCTCTCTGGCAGCAGACGACTTCCGTCGTCAAGTGTCACAGCAGCCTAACAACTTCCAGTGCCACTTCACGGATCTATGACGTCGCTTACGACACAGAACAGATCCTCTAACTACTAGCAATATATGTGGTCAATACGTTACCATCAGAAATGGCGTGAAAAGCACTTAAGTATTATCTCTGTGAAGGTATTAAGTATGATCAAATATCATCATCACACATGGTGTGTGTAGCGCAAAAGCAAGCAAAACTGTATTCCTGTTAGAATACTAAATATCATTAGACAATACAATATTCATCTATGTACATTCTTCCGCTTGTAACCCTTTATGGTATAGCTGGAAAACATAATCTCTAATCAATACGCAGAAAAAGTAGGAGACATATTCCTTCTTTTGGCAATGTTTAAAATGTCTTCAATTGATCTTCTCTGTGGTCTTCTCTTCCGCTTGTAACCCTTTATGGTATAGCAGGTAAACATAATCTCTAGTCAATAGCACTTTACGCAGAAGAACTAGGAGACATATTCCTTCTTTTGGCAATGTTTAAAATGTCTTCAATTGATCTTCTTCGTGGTCTTCTCTTCCGCTTTATGGTATTGCAGGAAAATGTAATCTCTAGTCAATAGCACTTTACGCAGAAGAAGTAGGAGACATGTTCCTTCTTTTGGCAATGTTGAAGATGTCTTCAATTGATCTTCTCCGTGGTCTTCTCTTCCGCTTGTAACTCCTTTATGTATAGCAGGTAAACATAATCTCTAGTCAATAGCACTTTACGCAGAAGAAGTAGGAGATATATTCCTTCTTTTGGCAATGTTTAAATCTGTCTCCTACTTCTTCTGCGTAAAGTGCTATTGACTAGAGATTATATTTTCCTGCAATACCATAAAGCAGAAGAGAAGACCACAGAGAAGATCAATTGAAGACATTCCTTCTTTTGGCAATGTTTAAAATGTCTTCAATTGATCTTCTCTGTGGTCTTCTCCTCCGCTTGTAACCCTTTATGGTATTGCAGGAAAATATAATCTCTAGTCAATAGCACTTTACGCAGAAGAAGTAGGAGATATGTTCCTTCTTTTGGCAATGTTTAAGATGTCTTCAATTGATCTTCTCCGTGGTTTTCTCTTTTTATATTGTTCCACTAATTTAGCTGGTGAATGTTCTTTGTCTAAGTATTTGGTTGGCACACTTTCAAGCTATTCAAACAGCTTCAGCTGTTGTATTTATTATTCCAACTGAATGTTGATCATCTTTCTTAATCAGTTTGGTCTAGTCTTTTTTACCAACAGTTTCTGTAAGCTTTTAATTTCATTACGGATTAATTTTTGCAGATGTTTTATTTGTTAGTTTAATGCCAATGGTTTAACAAGAGCCTTCTTAGATTCGAAATGTATTTGTTTGTGAATAGATCAAAGCGTGGTAATTATTTGATTTCGCCAAGCCACAGTGATAATCACGACTTGGTCATGCTGGAATATATTGACTAACAGGGCTTTGGTGAAACTATGACGAGCTAATCTGCATGTTCAATGTAACTCAATGGTTATTCTTAGGTGAATTAAATTGTACAACATATCAATAAAATGATGCAATGTGAGTTTCTTTATTTGGCAGTATTTACGAGATATCACCTACTGTTTGAGTTAGAGCTGTAATTTGGCCCTTTTTCGCTCAAGCGTGTTTGGATGGATTGGGATATATAGAAGTAGAATCTTTCTTTTAGAAGTATGTAAAAAATCATTTAAGATTTTTGGAGTGTGTCTTTTTTAGATTTTTGAGTATTTCGAATCTTATAAAATTTTGTAGCGCATTTTTGTTGAATTTTGGAGTGTCTTTTACTATCATACAAGTTTTTCTAGATGACAATAATAGTTAAATGAATAATGGTAATGTGGTTACTTATTTTTCTCTATTGCTGTGTAATATTATTTTCACCTCTCTTTACTGGGGAGCTGTGGTGATTTACGTTATAATATATTTCGCTCTTTCACACACATACACACGCGCGCGCACACACACACACAGACATATATATATTCTTTTCAAAGGAAAGACGAGATTTCAAGTTAAGCCTAAAACGAACTGAACTCATAGGTAAAATAACTTTACCAATATAATAATACAATAAAAAATATTTGTAGTTTTCATAACTTTTTATTCACTGGTTTCACGACAGTTTTCTTTTGCTAAAGCTTTACAGTACATTAAATAACAAAATATAAATTAATAATACTTGTACATATATAAAAACAACTTTAACGATTAACACCCTTGTGCTCATCGAAGGAGTAAATACATAGCACAAAACTTAAGAACATAATACTGTTATACCCTTTTTCATCTTGGCACTTAAAGAGTCTTCAGTTATACAAAAACTCTTTGTATCCATAAATTAAAATAAATAAATAAATATATTTCAAATAATCTCAGCTTGTTTTAATTATACAGTACACAAAAACTTCAAACGAGTAACTGTAAAATGTTATTCAGTTTTGAAACTTGAATATGGAATGGTAACTGGCAATTAAAGGCGTTGACAGACGTTGATTTCCTCTTTTTTCTTGTTTGAGAATGGTAGGTAATGCTGGAATTAATATCGAAGAATCACTTTTTCTTTCCATACAAATAATTCACAAAATGGTCGAGCTTTTGTTCTTCTGATTCCAGTAACAGGGCTGACACACAATCCGGAAACATGCTATTTTTGAAGCAGTTGGACCTTTGAATAAAATACTAATACTTAGTATTTGTGTTGTGATAATTAAAGCTCTTGTATTAGTATGATATTTGGCTTTCATAGGCATAAAATACTACAATATTGAATAGTAATAATTCAGAAGTATGGATTTAATCTTTACCAGTTTTTGAGGCAGGATATACTTTTACTGAAACAAAAAGCAGTTGTTTGGACATTATGTTTTATGAAATAAATTTATATATTCAATTTACAGACCGTGACTACCTATATAAAGAAAATTATGTACTTAACGCTTTGCAAGAAGCTTCATCTTAGAATATATTATTTTTCTGCATATTAACATCAGATAAACTTATTCTTCATTTGTTATAAAGGTTACTGACTTTATTATCGACGTTTGCGTTGCTTTAGTCGTGTATATTAAACTATAATATCACAGTTCCAGAAATTTAACTATAAGATTGACTGTGAAATCCCACTATTCTACAAAACAAAAGTAGCCTAAGAGCTCTAGGTGGGTGATGTTGACTATCTGCCTTCTGCCTAGTACACGAGAAAATTAGAGAAGGTTCTGGGTGGATAAGCACGCTCAAAATTTTGAAACAATAATACATAATGTGAGACGTTAATTAACGTATTATAGATAAACGTGATCTTTCTCCATTTGATGATGAATCTATTAAATTATATGTTCTAAAGTTCAATAAAATTTGAATAAATGGTTTTGTAAAGCTGTATACGAACAGAAGTAGTGGGGGTGTCTTCAGCCTTCTTCAAGGGATGACACTTGTTTGTTTGTAGTTAAGCACAAAGCTACATAATGGGCTATCTGTGCTCTGCCCACCATGGGTATCGAAACCCAGTTCCTAGCGTTGCAAGTTCTCAGTCATACCCTGTGCCACTGGGGGGGGGGGGGGGGTAAGGGATGACGTAAGGCCCAATATATGGTGTTAAATTTAGTTCCGAAACAAAAGTAAAATGTGTTTGAACGTTTTGAAAAATAACAACAAATCGTTATAGAATTACATCCCATAATAGTTGTATAACTTTACATGTGCTATTAATTTCACCAGTGATGAGCATAGATTACAATACTATTCTTTGAAATCACGTGTAATTTATTTCAGACTTTCGACGAGTATTCCAGGATCAATCTTTACTTATTTTAAAATTAATGAAATAAGCTACGTAAAAATTTCATAATTTTTCTGAAAGTGCAGAGGGTGAATATTTATAAGTTATAGCATGAACGTCAAGCAATAAGTGTGTAGAGGGTGAATATTTATAAGTTATAGTACGAAGGTCAAGCAATTGGTGTGTAGATGGTGATTATTTATAAGTTACAGCATGAAGGTCTAACATTAAATGTGCAAAGGGTGAATATTTATAAGATGTAGCAACATTCATACTCGCCAACATATTTTTATTAAGAAACAATTTTCTTACAATTAGTTGTCCCCCGATGGGACGGCGGTAATTTCACGCACTTACAACGCTAATATCCGATATTCGATTTCTCGCGGTGGACACAACAGATAGCTCAATATGGTTTTGCTCTAAAATAAACAGAATTAGCTGTTATAAAATTTTGCTGCAAAAAGTTTCAGTTTACAAATAGTCTTTAACAGGCCTTTATTCAAAACTAAAAATTATTTCAACAGGAAAGTTAAGTTTAATTAATGATTTAACAGGAAATTGTGTCGCATTTAACTAAGATTCAAGAATGTTTCAATAAAAATGTGTTTTGTTTGTTTAAGACTAAGGATGTTTTAACAGAGATGTTACTATATAATTTAAAATTAAGTTTTTTAACAGAACGACGTAACTCATTTAACTGAGACTAGAAGTTTTTAGCAGGGCGATAATTCACATTTATTTATGATTAAGGATTATTTTAACAAAAAAGATGTCTCATTTATCTAAGATTAAGAACTGTTTTTAATAAAACCTATTTAGGTAAGACTAATGATTCTCTTCACACAGAGATGAGTCTCATTTATTTGCGGCTAATGGACATTTAACAGAAAGGTGTGTTTCAACTATTTAAGATTATTGATTTTTTAACAGGAAGGTAGGTTTCAAGTTTCTAATATTATTGCTTTAACAAAGGTTATGGGTTCTTTTAACAGAGAGATGTCCCTCGGTTATCTAAGATTAATGATTTTTTTATAAAATGTGTCTCATTCAACTAAGATTATGGGTTCATTTTCTGGACATACACGTTTCATTTAACTAAGGACTGTTAAAGGGAAGACGTATTCCATTTATCTATTACGAATAAATCGTTTAACAGGGAAATAGATGGTTTTACCCTATTTAATCTAAGAGCAAAACTCTTTTAACAGGAAGATACGTTTCATTTAAGTGTCAAAAAGTGTTCTAACAGGAAAATCGGCACTTACTATTTTCAACCTGAACGGCACCTTATGCAACACATGGACTAAAGGACAAGGTCAGAGACCCTAATATTCAGGCATAACCATCCCATATTTCAGATTGTTAAGCAGGGATATATTAACCAGCCAGAAGCACTAGCTGCTTACACGAAAGAAAATTAATGGAAATGTGTCTGTTGCTGAAAGTAATTCAGAGATTCAAAAATGAAAAACATTTCTTCTTTCTATTAAAAATATCTTTATATTTCGATGTTAGGACATTTTATTTGGTTAGGCCCAAGCATAGAGACATAACATTTACTTAAAATACTAATTTGTCTTAAAATCCGTAGCTTTCCTGCGCTCTGTGTGACTTAGTCGTGAGTGCCCCAGGTTGCGGATCGGAAGATTCAAGGTTCGAACCACGATATGCCACTGAACACATTTATAAAAGAGACAGTGCTTCTGTTAAGTACACTTATTGAAAACCAATTTGATCACAGCACAGTCTTAGGAGTAAAATTGGATATAATACCACTTCATCATCTGACTTTTTTTACTTCAGGTTAATCTGTTGTTCATTTTCTCTTGAGTAGCAAACGATTGTTTTTTTTCATTTGTAACTTTTTATTTAGGGGTATAAGAGCTTACCTGCAATCGTCTTGCACGCTGGGAAGTCTGTAGAGGTTATAGCATTCCTCGCATACTCTGCTCAGCCGAGCAAACTTGGCCTTGTCGTATATTCCCATACAACCAAGAGCGGTGAAGCTTCGCTTCTGCAACGTTCTCTTCTTGGCAACAGTTGAGGAAAGCAACAGCAATGGTATCAGACTCAAACAAATAACGCAACGGATTGATGGTGGTGCCATCTAACAACAAAAAGGAAGGGAAATTATACTTTAAGTTTTTCAATGCTTGAAATATCTGGTTATTACTCTCTGTTTATAGATATACAACAGAATTTAAAGCGTCATAGTATTACTTAATTGTCTTTGTGTATATAAATATATTATAATGTACAAACACGGCTTCTTTTCCATCGGGTGAGCTTGAGGAATGAGCTTAAGTGTAAATGTACGTTCTGGATTCTTCTGTTCTTTATTTCAAAATGTGATAAAAATATATTATAGCCGTACAGTTGGTTAGTATTTTAATTTCATTAAGATGTGGAGAATACGTTGTAGCTAACTTTAAAGAAAAACACTAAGTAATAACGGGAATATTAGTTTCGTAGCATACGTCCTCAATATCATTTAACAATAGAGCTGTTAAAACAAATAACGTCATTATCAAAAATAAACTCGTATCATGGTTTGATTAAAGGAAAGAAAACACCTATTTCGGAGAAACTGACGTAAATTTATGTCCTTGTTTCAAACAAAACTTGAGTAAAACCCCAAACTGACTCGGATATGCTTAATCATTGAGAAGTTACACAATTCAAACGGAATTCATGAATATAAATTATTTGATAATAGAAAAGCCAGGAGTGATAAACTGAACCACGATTAGTTTCATGAAATTTATCTATTTATGTTTGCTTCGGTCTTTAAATTATAAGCACATATTAATCAACGTAGCACATAGTGAATTCTAGAACAGCCAAAAATATAATCTGAAGTGAATTATAGAACAGCCAAAAATATAATCTGAAGTGAATTATAGAACAACCAAAAATATAATCTGAAGTGAATTATAGAACAACCAAAAATATAATCTGAAGTGAATTATAGAACAACCAAAAATATAATCTGAAGTGAATTCTAGAACAACCAGAAGCAAAAAGAAGTTGTTGTCAATTTCAAGAGTAATATTACACATAATGTTACTGGTGTAGTCTGTAATTTCAGAGGAGAATTGCTATGTTATAGCCCTGTTCTCAGCTGAACAATTTGTTGCAAACAAGAATAATACAGGGGTTCTCGTTATGCGTCGTCTCGATATAAGTTGTTTCGCACTTACGTTTTGAGGAACACAACGTAAAACTTCCCCGCACATACGTCGTTCATAATTTTTGACTCGGTTCAGCTTAGCTCTCTCAACACGAACTTGGTCAATTTGACCGACCACGTCACCTCTTTTCACTCATTTAAAGTCTTTATAGATTTAATACTTCTAACTTTCAATATAGTGTGTATATCTTCACGAAATTTGGCAGTCTTTCAGTTAACATTACAAGTCCTTCACGAACAAAAAATGATATTTTTTTATTGTCGATGACTTTTTTATACTAATGGTAGTAATGCACTAAATAATTTTTATTTGATTGAATAATGCAACGAAGAACATAGACTAATAGCATGCAAGTAGGAAAGCAGACAACCCTGGACTCTTTATTAAAAAAAAACACCCCAGGAACCCAAAGCACGCTCTTCTAGCACTCAAGTGAAGGAAAATCCTGAGTCTACGTCTTCTATAGAGATAAAGACGGCGGATGTCAATGATGTTAATGACCTTACAGTTGCATCTCCATTCTCATCCTAAACCTTATTTTCTCCCAACACCTCATTCAATCCAGCACGACGCACACACTCCCCAAGTTAAGAACATAAAAATTAAAGGTTATGGTAAAATCTTTTTAAAATGCTGTTTAATATTCTGTGATTTTTTTACACTAAAAATGGTTTTCTTTTTGATTTATTGCTTTAAAATGTCACAAATATGTTTCTAGGAGTAAATGTTCTTTTGCAAGACTTTCTTAGAAGAGAATTCAAGCTTTTGCCTGAAGAAATTCTTTTTTTCCGAAATGTAAAGTCTAAATACATAACATCATATTTTGTCCATTGCTTAGATTATAACCTTATCTAAGATACATTTTATAGCAGTAGCAAATATATATATATATATATACCATAAATGGAAAAAGGGAATATTTAATCAATTGACAGAACAACAAAGTTTGTTTGTTTTTGAGCACAAAGCTACATAATGGGTTATCTGTGATGTACCCACCATGGGTTTAGAAACCCGATTTCAAGCCCTCAAATTTAGCACTGAGCCACTGGTGGGTAGAGCATCAAGATTTCAAGAAAGAGATAATTTCGGTAGTGAGTTTCGAGTGTAGTTTTGCCTCAAGATTTCGAAAAGCGAAACAAACAAAATATTATAAACAGTTTGACTTGTAAATATATATTGTATTTTACAATAATACAAATAGTATCTTTTTTCGTTTAGATATTATTGTTCAATGTATTTCATTTTGGTTCATCCATAATCACACTGTCTTGGGAAGCAGGGAATCTGTCTTAATTTATAACGTTTATAATCTCGAATTATACTGGAAATTGTCCGCATCCATGACTGTATTAAACATTAAAATATTAATGTTAAATACAGTCATGGATGCGGAACATTTTCGGTATATCAAGGAATTTACGATTTTCTTTTAGTACTCTTAATTTAAACAGGTTCTCTTTTTCAGATTTAAAGTTTACGTTTAGTTGCTGAAGAAATTTGACAGCCGGTTTTCTAAACTTTTCTAAGCCAGACATGCGTCAAGTTTCAAACTGTACAAAAGATTCTTAAGAGAACGTAGTCAAGGTTACTTGACCATGTAATAACTTTAAGGCACCCTTTAAAAAAAAGATAGAAAACACATGTTAAAGTTTTTAACAAACTATGAATAATAAACAAAAAATTCGAATTTTGTACAACGATTCATTGTGACGTAAAGAAACCTAAGGTGATCATTTTTAGCACTATTTAGTTGGATGCTCTTGAATTGTAAATGTCCCAATTTTTTAGCTTTCGTATCTACAATTATGCCGTTGATGAACATAAATAACTAGGTCTTGAACTAGTAAGCACCAAGAAATCGACTTGCTACGTTGTTCTAGTATATTCCATGCAACTAAACTACTGAATTTGAAAAAGCGGTAACGTAGCGGTAAAGTATGAAGAAATACTAAGTGAATAAAGTCATTTCTTAGTGCTAGAAAATGACGAATGGTGTGCCAATAAGCACGAAAGGAAAGCGTATGAAGTTTAAAAATACTGAATAATCAAAATATTATCTGCATCCAAGAAAAAATAGAAAAAAAGAATACATATTTAACGAGACAAGGGTTGATTTAAATCAAAGCTCGGAAGGGGAGCAAATGTGGACTTTATCTTCTAAATATTGGACTTCAGTAACTATTTCTATCAGAGTAGTTGTTAGGGGAACCAATTCTGTAATGACAGGCCAGGTGTTGTATTCCAACACAGTTGTACAGTCAACATTATAGCAAACTTTTGATCACACCGAACCACGCATTTCTCCGGAATTGGTACAGAAATGAAAGATTATTTGTTTCCAACTAACAAGGCACATAATCCTGGGTTAGAGTTGCTAACGAATATGTCTTCTATCTGATAGGAATATGTGACGTGTTCGAACAGTTTGTAATTTGACTAAAATACATACCTTGTATTTATTAAGGATACTTGCTTTACCCATTTTGGAGGAAATACCTATAAGAGGTCAATAAAATATTTAATGAACTGTGTGAAATCCATCATTACATGTCCCTCGGTGGTTTAGCTCTAAAACATAACTAAATCAATCGTTACATAGCAATTATAGTGTATCTATACTGACTGATAATTCGAGAACTATTACCTCGGACCTATGTCAACTTAACTGAAATGTTTTCTAATAACAAAGCTACTTTATTAAATACACGCAATGCTTATTTCCACCTTACACAACTAAAATAAACACACACAATGCTTATTTTCACCTTACACAACTAAAATAAACACACGCAATGCTTATTTCCACCTTACACAACTAAACACACACAATGCTTATTTCCACCTTACACAACTAAAATAAACACACACAATGCTTATTTCTACCTTATACAACTAAACACACACAATGCTTATTTCCACCTTACACAACTAAAATAAACACACACAATGCTTATTTCTACCTTATACAACTAAATTAAACACACACAATACTTATTTCCACCTTACACAACTATCCTAAACACACACAATGCTTATTTCCACCTAACACAACTAACCTAAACACACACAATGCTTATTTCCACCTTATACAACTAAATTAAACACACACAATGCTTATTTCTACCTTATAAAACTAAATTAAACACACAATGCTTATTTCCATCTTACACAGCTAAACTAAACACACATAATGCTTATTTCCACCTTATACAGCTAAATTAAACACACAAAGCTTATTTTCACCTTATACAACTAAATTAAATACACACAATGCTTATTTCCACCGTACACAGTTAAACTAAACACACGCAATGCTTATTTCCACCTTACACAACTAAAATAAACACACACAATGCTTATTTCTACCTTATACAACTAAATTAAACACACACAATACTTATTTCCACCTTACACAACTACCCTAAACACACACAATACTTATTTCCACCTAACACAACTAACCTAAACACACACAATGCTTATTTCCACCTTACACAACTAACTTAAACACACACAATGCTTATTTCCACCTTATACAACTAAATTAAACACACACAATGCTTATTTCTACCTTATAAAACTAAATTAAACACACACAATGCTTATTTCCACCTTACACAACTAAAATAAACACACAAGCTTATTTCTACCTTACACAACTAAACTAAACACACATAATGCTTATTTTCACCTTATAAAACTAAATTAAACACACACAATGCTTATTTCCATCTTACACAACTTTAGAAAGTTTATTTCCACTTTACACAGTTTTATTAAACACAGAGTAAAATTATTTCTACCGTTGATCAACCAGATGAAATAAATGTACTTTGAAAAATAAACGTTTTGGAGTCCTGCTTTCATATTCTACAATGTCCAAATTGAAATTTTCATGTTTTTTATATTATGT